CTTATAGAGACGCAACATCGGGTGATGAGTTGTTGAAAGAATCCCTAAATGTAGGCTCAGCACTCCTCGGAACGACCATAGTTCGCATTTGCCACTTAGGTTCTACATACAATGCTCGGGCTTTAATTGATTCTGCATCGGAAGCAACGTTTATTTCGGAACGAGTGCGCAATCTTTTAAAGTTACCTTTTTCGAAGACCAATGCAACCATATCGGGATTAAATAAGAAGGTGTCTTCGTGTTCATCGAAATTATGCACATTCTTGTTAGGTTCTACCGCGTTTGTGTTACCACAGATTACCGGTAACTTACCGTCCACTTCTTTGCACTTATCCGTACTTGACCAATTGCCTAAGGTACCCTTAGCGGATCCTAACTTCTTACAAAGCGGTCCAATAGATCTTTTAATTAGGGGTGATTTGTACCCTAAAGTTATGATGGAGGGTGTGAAGCGGAGTCTTCATAATAACCTTTTAACCCAAGAAACCGTGTTCGGGTGGATTGTCACTGGGGCAACCTCCACTGCACACGTTTCTTGCTTTGCTACCAAAGTCTCAATGGGAGAGGATAGTTCCATAAGTAACCAACTTCAAAAGTTCTGGGAATTTGAAGAGATCCCAAAGCGGCATATACAAAGCAAAGAATACACGTTTTGTGAGGAGTTGTTCGTAAAAACGACTACAAGGAATTCGGAAGGGAGATATTTTGTAGTACTACCCTTTAAAAATGAATATCCAAAGGATATAAAATTAGGATCTTCACGTCAGTAATGGCTGTGTCACAAAGTTTTCAATTCAATTTTATTTGGTATACTATGTAGAACGTCGAACGCCGAATTTGAAAATTCTCAAGTAAAGTAAACAACGCCTCAGAAACTTTAGATGCAGTGGAATCGGAGCCAAAATCCAAATTTAAAAAAGAAGTGACATTTTGAACGGTATTTTGAGGGTTAAGATATTGTTGTTGTAACTTCTCTATAGTTTTCCTATATTATATAATCATTTATCTTCACGATTAAAAAAATGTCATTCCATTATTTTTGAATTTGAATTTGAATTGAATTTTGATTTAAAAAAAAAAAACTCGTGTTTTGCCTATAGTGCGACGCCTCTAGCCATTGTGCATCACAACTTTAAGTTATCGACGCAAATTTTTTTTATTCCCCCCCCCTTCGCCAAATCCTGGCTACGCCACTGGTGCGACCTCTAACCCTTCGGTGGCACAGGGAAACAATTGTTTCACAACTTCAAGCTGTGAAATTTCTTGCGGAGTTAAAGGATACTCATTGTCTTCGGCGGTTCGAGTGGAATCGGAAGTTTGAGCTAACTCACAAATGATATTTGAAGCAATAGCGAAAGTTCGCCAGAAATCGTGTCCCAGAATAAGTCTTTGCTTGATGGAGGGTATTATATACAGTTTCATTGGCTTCTTTTTGGATTTATATGTCATCACGACATCCAACATCTCCACAATATTCTGACGGTCCCCATCGGCGGTTCTAGTATGGGATTTCAGGGGGAGCTTGGAAAAGTCTTCTGCTGCGAGTGAAGAGCCTATGCAGCTTATGCTCGCTCCTGTATCTAGCAGATCATTGATGTTCGCCATTATTTTATCCGGCGACTTAAAGATGTTACAAGATCCCTGCTTAATCTGGTAGCATAAAACGCAATGTAGTTTCTGCAGTAACTAACGTGGCGTCCTCATGGTATAAAACATTTACAGCAAGTTTTATGGGCTTTCTAATGCAGTAAAAAAAAATTAAGATTATGTCAGCGCTTTAAATATGCACTGTCTGACTTGCTTGAACCTCGTAAGCATTGCTGAAAGACTGCTCCAGCGCGTCGACAATCTAGAATGAGCTGTAACTCCCTGCCAAATTCTGTTAACATAATTTTGCAATAGATCATTCTTCATTGGAGATACACTTCGCTGAAAGCCATCATCTGCCTTTAAAAAATATTTCCTCACTGACAACACACACCATTTGCAACTCAAACAAGCTTCAGTTCTCTACTGATTCGAAAAAGTCTCTGCTACAGCGAAGTCAATGCTTGTATGCTGAAGCAAAATCTAAAGGCAAAACAACCCTGCAGTAAATCGCTCTAGGTCAGAACTAGCGCAGAACTAGCTCTTTAAGAGGCGGTACTGGTTCTCGATCTATCCCAACGCGATGCTTTCAACTGTCTCTTTTACATGGCGATGTCCTACGAAGTGGAAATTGCCACTTCTGCAGAACTTTCGAACTAGTTCTGAACTGGTGCTATTTTCGACAGTTCTGGGACAATAAGTTTTTTATGAGAAAAAATTTTAAAACTAGATAACCGCATATTTTTTCTTTTCTGAACTGTTCCCATTTTGGACAGATCTGCGACAATAAGTTTTTTTTATGAAAAAAATTGTGATTATTCGATTTTTTTATATTTTTTTAATTTTTTATGTTCTTTTACAGATTGCATTTTATTTATTTTTTTTATTTTATTTATATTAAATTGGATCATTTTCTCTTAATTATTTTAGCGGCACTCAACAATTTAAATTTATTAAATCTGAAAATCACAACTGCCTCCACCGCGATTTGAACTCGCGACCAACGATGTTAGAGTCGGAGGTCTTCCTGCTGAGCTATTGTAGTATTGTACGAGAAGTGAGACTTTGTGCATTTACTTCTCAACAGAGCGAAACTAGCACACGAAAAGTTTCAACTGTTCCTTTCTGCAGCCATTTTGCCCTAGTTCAGAGATAGTTCTGAAATGTATAGGGCGGAACTAGCGCTTTAACAGACTGTCTCTAAATTTTACTGCAGGGAAAGTACTAAAGTAGAATAACAGTAAATCATAGCCTTGCGGCGAGGGTAATCCCCGTACGCTAGGGCTGTCATAATCCTGAAACCATCGACCGGGACACTTCCATCCAAATCAAAAACGAAGATACATGTGAATATGGTGCCAATATATTCCCTATAACTACAATTGCTTTGGTTGTGATATTACAAGCAATGTAGCTTTGTGGCAGTCCGTAGAGCTGAATGATTGATGGTGATGAAACGCTCAAGTTCTGAAATTTCCGCATATCCTACAATGCGCTTCACGATAATTTTTGCCGTTTTGTATATGCATAACCTGAAGATAATTTAGGTAGGCTGTCTTAAGTAAAGCCATTCTAAAAGGTATACCCAAGAAGGACCGAAAAAAGTGCTTCTCTGCATGCTTCCTAGAAAGGTGTTTCCTATTTACAATTCACGCGAATGTACTTAAGTAAATGTTTATATTACTTAGCATTACAAATAATATTCAATAGGCATTTGAAATCTAAATAAAACTACTTGATATGAATCTTAAATAAATTCCATTCAACAATTCTTATTGAGCTTGAGGCCGTTTTTAATGAAAAACTTATTGTGGAAAAGCAATAATAATTTGAAATAAAATAATGTAAAAAAAATATTTTTTAGAATCAAGCTTTTATTTAACCTGTACAATCAAAGGAATAAAATGAAGTAGTGTAAGAAAAGATTTGTTAGCAAGAAAATTTTGTCAAAACTGCACTAAAATGAATAAAATAAAATAAGTTAAGGTCTCGTTAAAGTTACTAAAAGCCATTTAGTGAAAGGAGTTATTCAAACTCTAATGAAAATTACTAACAATTTGTAGATACTAATTTACTTCGTTTTTAAAAAAGCTTGTCGGCGAATTCAGCGTACATGCATAATTGGTTAGGTATGTATGTATATGCAAATATGCAGATATTTAAATGCCGGTTTGCTATTCGCGCGATTCCTTTGATTGTACAGGTCAACGAAAAGCTTGTTTTTAAAAAAATATTTTTTTTACATTATTTTATTTTATAATTTTT